TTACAAAAATATTCACCAAAATTAGAGAATTGAAGATATCATCATGAAATGAACAAATCTGAGAGAGGTCTACCCAAGGTACATATACACCAAGTATCAAAGCATCAGGCTTGTAGTTTCAAGAAGAAGTCGAAAAAGTAAAACATTGACATGGACGACGCCGGACAATCACTCATATGATAAGCTCCGCTCGACAAAGTCGACAGCAGAGCTTAAAACAAACAAAAGAGGTAAGAGTTCCTCAGGGACTCCTTAATCATAACTTTAATCCTAACCTCCATTTTCCCTCCCAAGTTATTTGTATATACATTTTTGTACCCTTCTTATTTGGAGGGGGCATACCATGTTAGGGTTGAGGTTAGGAGGCCTTAAGGAACAAATTATACAACTAATAAATTTCTAGTTTTAGGAACAAAGGGTAAAAAAAAATGAGAGATGCTTCATGGCAATCACTTTTACTTTATGTTTCGAGACGTGGGTACAACAATTGAATTTCCTTTTTTCATGGTCGTAAAATGTCATATAAAACCAATGACCGTACGGTGGAAAAATAAATGCATTGTTTAAGTGTATGGTTAAGTGCATGGTATTAAACAGCAATGACATACATTAAAAAGCTTCTACATGAAAATTGCCCTGGCCTGCCAATTGAGGTGAGAAATAGGAAGGAGGTCTTACCTAGGAACTATTGGAATCTGTACACCACTTGATGGTTTTTTGGCAGGTGGACCCATAGCGTGGTCTTCAGATAGCCTACGCTTCTGTCCAATATCAAGGCTATTACGGGATAGTCTTATATCCTGCTGTTCACGATTAACTGTGTTTATACCCAGGGGATCATTCTAGAATAAAAATAAATAGAAACATACATATATGCTGTAACACAATGAGTGATAGCAAAGAACATTTCCCAAAATTAAAAGAATTCACCAGATCCGGGGACAAATTGAGAGACAATCACTAAATACGGAACCATTGACATTGTGACATTACATACATGACAGTAAAAACTGTTTAACGAACATGAAATAACAGAATTACAAATAAACGTATAGACAAAACACAGTCAATTAATTTGCACAAATCAATACAGCACCGGCAAACACAACAGGTTTGCAACTAGAGGAACTGTCATACAAAGCGTGGAAAAACTAGTCTTGCATTCAGAATTCTAAAATTCTGTAATTTTTTTTTTCTTCAGTCATCTGATATTAAAGTACTAGCTGAACAATGTAAGGAAAAACAATAACTACCGATGCGATCAGGAAAATTTATCCTTTCCACAATCTTTCAACAAGAATACTCAGGCTAATAATTCCACCTTTGGTTAATTTACATATGACATGTTAACAAGGTCAAAGGTCATATATAATAAGCACATGTCAGCTGATGTTACAAATGTTGTCTTTTTTTCCCATGATGCTCCCACTTTAGTTTAATAAAAGAATATCTAATGTTATATTTTTATATCTATATAGGATATGCAAGTATACTGATGTTCTAGGCCAGGGGTGGTGCTGTTGTGAGATAATGAAATACAAAATTTAAATTTAGACAACAAAACAGAGCAAGTTTTATCTGTCTATCACATTCAAAATAATTTACAAGCAGTGAAAATTAGTAATTTGCCATGCATTTTTGTAAAAAAAAATCTTTGCTTTTTAGTTTACAAACTTTATTTTGAAAAATAATGATTTTTTTTTTCTTTTGGAGGGAAGAAGGGAGGGTTTGTGGGTCTCGCCTTAACTACAACAGTTTCTATATTGTTACATGCAGCCATGGCTTCACCCTGGAGTTTTTTTTCCTGAGTTCACATGAAAGGCCTGTCCCACAGAAAACTGGGAGGGCTCTAGACTCATGAATAGGGTATATTTTCCCAAGCCCTATAGGAGTAACTTCTGGATTAGCCACATACGAAGTAGACACTTGAGTTTATGTTATTATTTGAATCTTAAAACATATAGAGCAATTATATTGGCTTAGGGTTGTTTGCAGGTATTAGATTTTTATACAATTGTTTCATTTTATGTTGTTCACAAAACTCACATAAAAACTTGTACTACTACTTTAAGGGTGAAAAACAATTGCTTAAAAAAAAAAAAAAAAAAAAAAAAAAACGGCAATGTTTGAGTCATTTAACAGTGATTTTGTCTTATTTGAAAATATCATTTGGTGACATACATGATATTAATTATTGCCTGTTTTTTTAATTTTTACCGATAATTAAGACCCAGTAATTTAATTACATGATCAAAAGAACTCATTGTTTTCCTGCCCAGTAAAATTGCTTGAAAAATTAAAATAGCAAAATCAAATGCCAATGAAAATAGTAGGTTGTTATAAGATGGATAATTCTGATTGTCACAAATTATTAGGAGATTCTGGGAATTTTCCATGAAATTATGCCTTTACCTGGATTCCTATAGAAATTTAACCAGCAATGATTATTTTTGACATTTTGTCACAGGATTTTCTAAAAATCATGATTTCTATCGGGTAAACTCAAAAAGCTATGGCATATATGCAAATCTATAATAACATAACACTTTTGAAATAAAATATTGTGATACAATATTCATACTTTTTATTAGATCGAAATACCCACGAATGATGAATTTTGTGCATGCACAGCGTACACATCAGGTTTCAGGTGTACATATACAGGCTGAAAAAACAACATGCAAGTACCCAAGTATTTTGAACCCGATGTGAACAATTCTTTTTATTTAATAGTTCTCATTGTTTATCCTGAATAAAAACAAGAATGTACAAAGCTGTACAAGACTTCAGGAAGCACAACCTAAACATCTTTCATTTCAGTGCTGTGTCTTCACAATTTTCAATTAATTCAAGGCCTTCTCAGAAAGCTTATCGCTTTAAGATTTTTTCTTCTTCATTTACCATTTTTTTCTTTTTTAATTATCAAGTTTACTAACACTTTGAAAGGAATGCAAAGTTAACCCAGCCTGAGAATACTGATCTCTGAGGTTCAAGTCCTGGATTTCATGATTAATAGCTTATCAGAAAACAAAACAGCTTAAGTAAGATTTATTTTCATGATATTATTATGCTATTTTATGCAGCATCAAATGACATGTTAAATTTACAATTTGTGATTACATCACAGGGAAGTATTGCAGTGACACATCACACTAAAACAAGTGAAATTCACTCTGGTTATTTGATACTGTTCGTACCTGTACAAAGCCAGGGCTACTCAGCGGTGGAATATCCCACATAGATTCATTTGTCCTTTTATTATAGTAATATGGCCGCCTCTCACGCTTGCTCCAAAATTTCCTCCATCCCATTTGCAGCAGCTCTTCCGGCAGGTCATGCACTGGATCAGGACCGGTAGGGGTTGATGGCTGTGGAGAGAGTGGTGAGGGAACATTCTGCCCCTGGGGAGAAAAGGGTTGTCCCTGTGGAGATGGTGATGATTGATACATTGCTGTTCTTGACTGTGTTGGGGGTGAGATGGCTGCTGGAGAGCGATGATGCATAAAATTATAAGGCTGATCCGTAGCGGTGTCTGATGGACCAGGCTTTTGTTTTGCTTCGTCCATTGTTTTCAGCAATTAGTTTAATGACGCAGTCTTTTTGAGGCTCATTTTTTTCCGATCCTGCATCAACCTAAACAAAAATGTTATAGATATTTAATCGGTGAATGTTCAGATGACAGTACGATGTAACAATATATTACAACGCACGAGAATACATTTGTATAACCTCAATCACTCTCTGCACGGAAAGACACTTCCGCCACAAACGTAAACAAAGTGTAAACTACGGTCAGTAATACACACCAATCCAGTGATCTGCAGAGATGCAATAGTGTTTACAGCGTTGGATGAATTATATGCAATGTAAATAACGGCGACAACTCTGCCCAACAGAATCGAATGTGAATTTTCTGTACCGATCCATTTGATTCTAGAAGTGAAATTTCATGTATTGTGTTATAATGTAACTACTGTATCTTTCATATTGTGATTATGTCGCATGCATACAATTTACAGCTGTGAAACAACTCATATACCTAACATGGACATCTTAAGAATATTATATAATATATTCTTACCTCCGATTGTGGATCAGATTACATCCAGGTACAGAAATGATAAAAAGAGCGCGTCGATCTAGTTTTCACAGCTCGACCAGTCCGCCATTTTGCCTCGCACAGCATCATGGGAAATATTAAATGCGTTGGTAATATGGTGGCGCTGTGCACGAGCTTTAGGCTGGTTGATTACTGTAACTTATAAAATGGCGGGAGAGTTAGATATATGTATGCATTGGCGTAAGTAAGTACTGGTATTCAGTCATTTGTTGTATTTTGTTTTGTGCAAACTATTCACCCATAACACAGTAGCGAACTTGAAACATCTTATAGGATAATCAAAAACACAGTCTCAACCAACTTGTTAGCTGCAGTTGTAGCTCTTGGTTTCGCTACAATAGTTCGATTGTTGGTAACTTTATTTCGTTCACTAGTTTCGCGATCACCCCGCCGACGGACAAAATAACTGTACCGCCAATAACGAAACCCACAGCGAAACCAAGAGCTTATGAGCCAAGCGCGAATTCTTATTGATTATAACATTTTATGACGTCATTGCAGCTGATTATTCGCGATAATGTATCCCATTATTGAGCATCAAGGCTCTGTGCCATGGACATAATGTTTATTTTTCGAAAACGAATAAATATAACTTTATTACACAACTAAATCATAAGTGGATTTAGTAAGGTAAAGAGAATAACAATATATAAATAAACAAATAAAATAAAAAACAAACAGTAAAACTGAAAAAAAAAAACTAAAGAAACATCAAAATATAGATAGTATCTTTCAAGTATAGTGAAAGGGCTTTTGCATTTTTCATTACCCCAAGAAAAATATCATCTGGTAAATTAGGCTTGAGATCACAACCTTCAAAAAGTCTTTTCCTTTCACTTTTAAAGGAAGAACATTTAAGGATAAAATTCTTCTCATCATCAAGAGAATTTATATTACATCTTTTACATGTTCTGTCATCTGACAATTTTTGGTTAGTTCCTTCTCCCTAGTTCAATCTCTAGATTGTGATCACTGAGTCTAAATTTACTTAACATTTTTCGAAGGTTGAGAATTTTCAAACTAAAAATTGATTTCTAAATCAATTAACATAAGCAAATAGTAAGGATGGTGAAAGGAATAAATTGAGGACCTACTGTTTATTTAAAGAAAATTTTGAGTTTGAAAATTATCTGAAAAATAAATTGATTTCTAAATCAATTAAGGAATAAAGGGGTAACTATTTAAAAATTGTTAGATCATATGTAATTAATACTAAAATCGACATCAAATAAAATGGTCTATTGCCAGTAACAGCTCAATATCAGGACAATTTTGTGAAGGCATCGTCATCTGCTCTATACGCTAAAGTGCACTTGGTCAAAGCGTTCAATCAACTAAGCACGCTTCTAGATTCCGCGACTGATGCCGGTGGCCTCCTGACTAGGTTGCCCTATCGTGAGTAGTATTACACTATTTGCGAAATGAGGTTGAAGAAAGATCGACGTGACTTGTATTTTCTCAGTGTTGATTTCCTGGTTAATGTCACAGTCCGGGACACCGCAGTTTGCATAAACAAATGAAAGTATTCCTGTTCTGTGTTTTTTTTATTTATACAGCCAGATTAAAACCACGGTTTGTTCTCCTTCTAGGATGGCTAACACCCACTAGCTTCCTAGCCATGTTTGTTTGATCGCTAGTCGCCTCTAAGTTTCATTTGGCTTCAAAGTATTGTCAAATCGGCCTCCTGTAGAATTTGAAAATAACTATTACACAGACAGGACAGTTGCCAATAACATCTACCTTGATGGTTTGAAAACACTCATGGGATGGGGTAACGATACGACTACGTACATGTACTCCAGGTACGTACCTCTATGCACAGTCGATCCAGCCGGTCCACAATGGCGACACCAAGGCCGCATACCAGTCACGATGTGTCGTTCGCTCGAGAGTTCACTACAATGCTACTCCACACCACACATCAGTCACAGTTATATTTAATGGATTAAAACTAGTTTCTTAGTTTGCCATATGAGATTATAGAAACAATTTCCAGAAAGACATTTTAAATTATTCAGATTCACAGACCAGTGACAGTGAAACTGTTCCATTCACTGGGGATTTTTCTCCAAATTTCCCACTTTTTAGCGGTAGCAAATCCACTAATATTGACAACGCTACAAAATAATAACAGTAATGAACCCATATGGACTCAAGCACACATAAGTGCTCCATATGTGTACTTCGCTCACTTCCGCACATATATGTCGCACAAAGTGAGCTTTCATTTAATATTCGTTGGCGAGTCGTTCATTATTGTTTAATTAAATTGTCCATTGACCATTATAAAATCTAAGTTATAAACACATTGTTCAGCAGTGTGTTTGCATTCGACTGTGGGGAGATGATAGAATTTGACAAAAAATAAGTTTTACCTCTTGTTCTAGGGAAAATAGAAAAAACTATGCGGTGATGCAAACAAGCCATTCACTGCCAAGTCAGCTAGCTACACACATGGAGCTCCATGCTACACATAACTTCCAATAACAACTTAATGAACTCTGTACTGATTACTTTCGTACTGATAATGATTAATACCGGTATGTTATATTGTTATAGTTTGGGTGTATTCGAAGACTGAATTTTAGTTTTCTGTCACTATTAAAATGAGACCTTTGTTTAAGTTTGAGCTAAACAACATGATCGATGACAAACAGAATTTTGAATTTTGCTTTGTTTTTGGAGTAACTCCAACTTTTATGTGATATTTTCACCTGCTACATATCCATGAATATATCACCTTGCTCACACGTGTATAAAATTTTGTGATCTTTATTGGAAAGTTAGTTGGTTTTTTTTCACTGACCAAAGGTTCAATAGTGAATGACGTGTTTGTTTGTTTGTTTATGATATAATGATGCTGGACATTGCCTTTGAAGAATGTTCCCAATAGATGTGTCTCAAAAAACACTTTTATATCAGTTTTTCTTTTCTTTTTTCAGCTCATTACGATAGAATCAGTTAATTTAGCACTACCATAGAGAATGCAGAGGCACGTTTATATTTCACTCTAGTACTATTGCTCAAAATTGCATGCTCAAAATGTTTTCAGTGACTTTTGTCAGTGACAAGTTACCTAATTAGTATGCATTTCGAGAAACCACAGTGTGTGTGTATGCGCAGTTTGAAATGGAACAATTTTGAATGCAATAAAATCATGCGTAGAACTCGGGCTCCAGCAAGAAATTGTGGCGTCAAACTGGCTGTCGTTTGAATTGTATTGCAATAGACATAATTTTAGAGCCTGTATTTTTCTATGAAATGTTTCTAAGTTTTGTTGAAAATAATTCTGTAAAGAAATCGCTGAAATTATTTCATATGTCTGTAAAAGGGACGTTGTTACTTTGACGATGGGCTACGGACGACTGATTTTGAAATGTTCCATTCAGATCGGATGGCGCCCTCTCGTGCCAACCCCTCCAAAACATTTCAAGTTTTTCATTGCTCATGAGTATTAATTTATGCAAATGTGAAGATTATTTCAAACTATTCGTGTCATGCATCTCCACCCTGCATTAAAGGTTGATTTTGAACAACAAAACATCCAGTGAAATATTAAACAAAACATTTCAACAGTATGTGGCACACTTTACGAAATTGAAAAAAAATGAGTGAAGCATAGGTTTTAGGCCAACGTGCGTAATGACGAAAAGCTAAGCCTTTCTTTTCACCGTGATGGTTACCAGGTGGTGAAAATATCTGGATGTCGGCCCCCGAGAATACTAGCAACTCATAATGATCGTTTTGGTCTCTTACTGCCCTCTATAGTTTGTGGTAAATGAACTTCTGTTTTTTATACTTTGGTAAAATACATTGATTAATGCTGTCAATACCAGGGTGTTATTTTACAGTTGACAGCAGTAGGTTGTAAATAGGTGGACAAATCTACAGTTTTGGTTATATTTTTCTGTAAATATTAGTTTTAAAATAAGTATCAGAAATATCAGCTCAAAATCCGTGCATGTTTTTCACACAGAATAGTGTGATACCCCTGGCAGCTTGTAGGTTTTACGGATTCATCAGTGCATAACACTCTTAGTTAATAAACAGAGAACGGCATTCATCCATTGGTCTCAATGACAAACATAATTGGGTCTATTGTATGCTGTTGTACAGTAGGGGTTAGAGAAGTGATCTCCCTAGGGCTAAGCAGGGATAATACTAACTGTATGTGTACAAGTACAATACTGTATCTAGATAAAGAATTCACACTATTCAATTAACTTTAAGTTTGAATGAAAGGAGAATGAAAGAGACCGACATTAGTTGTAGGTGTACACAGCATTGTATGAATATATCCCATGACATTATCTCAGCTGTTATAGATATAGATACATTCTCCACCTCATTGACCACATATTCCTGGATTTAACCAATTAAATATTGACACAAATGTCTAAATTCTATTTCAAGATTTTATAAAGTTGAATTGTGCAAGTATTTTTGAAGCCAATCCATATTGCTATAAGGGGGATGCAATGTCTCAAGGGATGCACTGTTCTAGCAAGTTCATTAGTCTTGTCAAAGAGCCATAAATCATGGTTCAATTCTGTTCAAAATCACTTTATTCTCCCACAACCTTCTGTAGCTAGCAATTTAAACATCATATTATGTAAAAAAAAAAAAAATACCATGGTTGTTGAGTGTGACTGATTTATGGATGTTCGGAAACCATTCATCCATAGAAATTTTTCAAACTTTCCCAAGACACCCATCATCATTATCACCTCAGGCTAACTTGTAGCTAGTGTTGTTGCTATACATAGACCCAGAAATAAATTGCAAACCAATTTATTTGCGAAAGAAATATTTCTCCTGTACCTTAATTTTTTAATGTAAAGGCATACTGTTGCTACTTATTGAATTCAACAACAATTGCTGAAACAAAATGATTTTGCTAGTACGGTACTCTGTGTTTAATTATTAAAAAGTGTATTTTGAAATATTATTGTGAGTAGGTAATTCAATCCACGATAATTCCTCTACTCTTAAAAAAACACTTAAAAATAAGCTTAGTTGATCAAAAAAATTTGTTCAAGGACAAAATGATTA